TGTTCTTAATTTAATTTTGGTAAGTGATATCTATCCAGAAAATTGTCTATTTCCTTTAAGTTTTTGTGTTTTGTGGAGTACAGGTTTTCAAAGTATGTCCTGATGATTCTTGATTTCCTTGAAGTCAGTTGTTGTCTCCTCCTTTTCATTTCTGATTTTGTTAATTCACATGTTCTCTCTCTGCCCTTTTGGATAAAGGCTTGTCTATCTTGTTGATTTTCTCAAAGAACTAACTGTTGGTTACATTGATTCTTTGTATGTTTTCCTAGTTTCTACTTTATTGATTTCAGCCGTCAGTTTGATTATTTCCTGGGTTCTACTCCTCCTGGATCAGTTTGCTTCTTTTTTGTTCTAGAGCTTTCAGTTGTGCTGTTAATTCTCTAGTGTGGCTGTCCTCCAGTTTCTTCATGTGGGCACTTAGTGTCATGAACTTTCCTCTTAGCAGTGCTTTCAAGGTGTCCCATAAGTTTGGATATGTTGTGTCTTCATTCTCATTGAATTCTAGGAAATCTTTAATTTCTTTTTGTATTTCTTTCTTGACCCAGGAATGGTACAATTGCTCATTGTTCAATTTCCATGAGTTTGTAGGGTTTCTGCAGTTTGTGTTGTTGTTGAATTCTATCTTTAAAGCATGGTGGTCTGATAAGATACAGGGGATTATTCCATTTTTTTGTAACTATTGAGGTTTGTTATATTGCTGAGTATGTGGTTGATTTTAGAGGTTTCATGTGGCTCTGAGAAGAAGGTATATTCTTTTTTGTTTGGATGGAATGTTCTATAGATGTCTGTTAATTCCAATTGGGCCGTAACTTCCATTAGTTCCTTTGTTTCTTTGTTAAGTTTCTGTCTGGTAGTTCTGTCTAGTGGTGACAGTGGGGTGTTAAAGTCTCCACTATAAGTTTGTGAGATTTTATGTGTTATTTGAGTTTTAGTAACATTTCTTTTATGAATGTGAACACTTTTGTATTTGGGACATAGATGTTCAGAATTGAGACTTCATCTTGATGGATTTCTCCTGTGATGAATATGAAATCACCTTCTTCATCTCTTTTGACAGATTTTAGTTTGAAGTCTAATTTGTTAGATATTAGGATAACTACACCTGCTTGTTTCTTGGGTCCATTTGATTGGGAAATCTTTTCCCAATCCTTAAATCTGAGGTACTGTCTGCCTTTGAAGTTGAGGTATGTTTCTTGTAGGCTGCAGAAGGGTGGATTCTGTCTTCGTACTATTCTGTTAGCCTGTGTCTTTTCATAGGCGAGTTAAGACCATTAATATTGATAAATATTAATGACCATTGATTGTTAATTCTTGTTTGTTTTGTATTTGTTGTTGGTGGTGGTATTGTGTGTGGATTCCCTCTTTTTTCTTTTGGCTGTTGGCAAAGTGGGATTATCTATTGCCTGTGCTTTTGTGGGTGTAGTTAACTTCCTTGGATTGGAGTTTTCCTTCCAATACTTTTTGTAGGGCTGAATTAGTGGATATGTATTATTTATATCTGATTTCATCATGGAATATGATGAATCTGTAGTGATTGAAGGCTTTGCTGGGTATAGTAGTCTGGGCTGGCACCCGTATTTTCTTAGTGCTGGTAGAATATCTATCCTGGACCTTCTGGCTTTCAGAGTTTCCATAAAGAAGTCAGGTGAAATTGTGATAGGTTTACCTTTATACGTTACTTGGCCTTTTTCCTTTTCTGCTCTTAATATTCTTTCTTTATTCTGTATGTTTGGTATTTTGATTATTATGTGGCGAGAGGAATTTTTTTGTGGTTCATTCTATTTGGTGTTCTGTATGTAGGCTTCTTGTACTTTCATTGGCATGTCTTTCTTTAGGTTGGGAGTTTTCTTCTATGACTTTGTTGAATATGTTTTCTACATCTTTGAATTGGGTTTCTTCTATACCTATTATTCTTAGGTTTTGCCTTTTCACAGTATCCCATATTTCCTGGATATTTTGTGTTAGGGATTTGTTGGACTTAAGATTTTCTTTGGTTGATGAGTCTGTTTCTCCAGGTGTATTTTCAATGCCTGAGATTCTCTCTTCCATCTCTTGTATTCTGTTGGTTATGCTCGCATCTGTAGTTCCTGATCAGTTACCCCACTTTTCTATTTTCAGCATTCCCTCAGGCTGTGGTTTTATTTATTTTTTAATTGTCTCTGTTTCAGCTTTTAAACATTGCACCGTTTGAATTGTTTCTTGCAATTTTTGTTTTCTCTTTTCTTTCATTTCTTGAATTTTTTATTTGTTTTTTCTTCCATTTCTTTAAGGGATTTTCTCATTTCCTCTTTTAGGGTCTCTATAATCTTCATAAAGTTGTTTTTAATGGTCGTTTTCTTCTGCTTCTTCTGTGTTGGGATGTTCAGGTCTTGCTGGTTTGGAGTCCCTAGACTCTGGTGGCATCATATTGATCTTTCTGTTGTTGACTGCATTCTCTTCCCATCCCTTCTTCCAGTGGTTACCTTGGTGTCTCTCCCTCTCCTCGTGGGTACGGGACCAAGGTTGTCTTCTGGTGGGTGTTAGCAGGTTCAAAACTCCAATGGCTTTTCTCTTCCCATGGGTGGAAGTGGGACTAGAACCTTGAAGCTAGCAGACTCTGGATGGGCTGGTCCCCCAGGATCAGTTCCCCAGGGTTCAGTCCCCAGGCCTCAGGAGGTTCAGAACATGGCATGGAAAGATAGACCATAAACAGCACCCATGCTTGCCTCCTTCCGTGGGTAGATGTGGGACTAGTATGACTACTTTGGCAGACTCTGGATGGGCTGGTCCACCAGGTTCCTCTATGTGCAGTCTCCAGGATCAATAACATTTCTTGAACACCAACTACATACCATTTACTATTTAAGGAACTTTATAGTCACCATTTTATTTAATCTTCAAAAAAAACTTTTGAGGTAGTTACTAGCAACATTCCCAGTTTGTAGATAACTCATTGTATACATGAAGAAGCAAAGGCCCAGCATCATAGATTCAGAGTATTTTACATCTGGGATTTGGCAACAAACAGGCTAATTTCAAACTCATGCTGTGAAGTCTGCCCTGATATGCCACATGCAGTTCTATGCAGCTTCTAGGGTTGGGAGAGAAACCAGAGCAATAAGAAAACTTAAGGGAGAGATTAGGAAGAGAAATTAGCATGCTACTAACTTTATACTTAGACGTCAGCTAAAGGGAAGAGTTAGAAAAGGGCACTAGAGAGGTGTGCTAGGAGGAGCAGCCTCATTTCAAACATTAGAGTCATCTGCTAGGCGAAAAGTACATTCCTGTTGTTTAAATCAGGGCTTACTGAAATAGTTTCAAATTAATCATAGTTAAGGACTAATTACAAATGACTTAGCACTATTTTATTTAATTTTTTTCGAGACAGGGTTTCTCTGTGGCTTTGGAGGCTGTCCTGGAACCAGCTTTTGTAGACCAGGCTGGCCTCGAACTCACAGAGATCCGCCTGCCTCTGCCTCACGAGTGCTGGGATTAAAGGCATGCACCACCACTAACCTACTTTACACTATTTTAATAGTACTTAATAAACAATTCCTAGCCACCTTCCTCAATACAGTCATCTTAAACAATTCAACAAGGATTTGCTAGCAACTACTATATTGAGTTGAGCTATACTAAACTCTATGTCTGTAGTGGATATTAATTTATCCATTGGTTATTTCTTATTTCTATACTTTAATGGAAGTTTTGTTTGTCTAAAGTGTATTCATGTATACTTTCTCATTTATTAGATCCATCTCTGCAGAGCTGACTAGGAATAAGCATATGAGCAAACTTGGAAATCCTGGAACCACCACTTGTTGTTAGTAACCCCCCATGCAATTGGTATTTCTTGAGCGCTTACTCTGGTCTAGACACTGTGTTTGGCACTAACAACACACTAATGAACAGAACAGATGGTCCTGGACTTCTTGACATGCATGGTCTGCTGAGCACATCAAACATTGAATAAGTATGCATGCACACAGAGATACACACTTGTAAACTGTGGAGCTCCAACACCTACCCATCAGGAAATAAAAATGACATAACCTATAAAAAGCCAAATTTCTTAAGAGGACTGGCATCAGACCAGTTTGTTTAATAATCTTTTATTCCAGAGATAGGCCAAGTAATATTATTCCAGACTGTTATCCTTGCTAGGCCGTAGATGTGATTTTACTTTTTCTTTCAGTGTTTCCTTCAGGAATTTCTCTAATTTCCCTTTGTGTGTGAGTCTCTTTAACTGTAGTGATACCTTGTTGGGTATAGGTCCATTTTAGTGGTAAACTGGTAAAGGAAAAGAATCTTGGAATCTATGAGTAAGTGACAGCTAGCTGCCCAAAGCACTGTGCCTTGGTTATTTTTGTGTTGCTGTGACAAAACACCAGGACCAAGGCAGATTATAGAAGAGTTTATTAGAGGCTTGCTTACAGTTTTAGAGGGTTACAGTCCATGACCATCATGGCAGGGAGTGTGGCATCAGGCAGGCAGGTATGATGCTGGAGCAGTAGCTGAGAGCTCACGTCTTATTGGCAAGCTGGAAGCAAAAGGGAGAGATGGAGAGAGTAGACTTTTGAAATCTCAAAGCCCACCCCTAGTGACAGGCCACACCTCCACCAGAATGGCCACACCCCTTCCAGTAAGGCCACACCTCCCAGACTGGGTTTTCTTTTTCTTTCTTTCTTTCTTTTTTTTTTTTTTGCAAATGGTATTTATTGCTTTTCATCGAGAGCTTTTTGAATTTACACACACACACACACACACACACACACACACACACACACACACACACAGTGGGTCAAAGTTTACAGGCTGCTTAGTTTGTGCTGAGAATGTAAGAGGTGAGGCCCTGTGCTGTCCTTCTACTAGTAGTGGCTGGGCACTGTTTACAGCTGCCCCAGAGGTACCCCAGATGGGAATACTGCCTCCTTACACACTGCCATTACATACCTGATCATCAGTCAAGTCACTGGAATGGTACAGAGGTTTTGTTTGTTTGTGGTGTTTTTTTACCTTCCCACTATAAATATGAAAATTTCAGTTCATTTCTGAAAAATAAATTGGTCAATAAATTCATTTTGTTCTGCTTCTGCTTTACACAAAGCTTCATATTCAACTTGATACCTTTCCAACTGCATTTTCTTTTCTGCTGTTAGCGCTTGCAGTGGCTGCTGTTGGGCTTCTCTCTGCTTTGCTATGGATTTGAGCAAGTTCTGAGCACCGGTGGCCTTCATCTTCTCATTGCCTGCTTCTTTTGCAATCTGATAAACAAGCTCAATTAGACCACCAACTATTTTCTGAAACTGGCCAATTTTGTCCACAGAATCCTTACACTCTTCCTTGAGCTCTATGGTTTGCTGTGTAACCTCTGGGTCCAACACCCGAAGCTTGTTCAGCTCATCAGAGTGCAGCCCTGCTTCCCCCAAGATGTCCTTGGCCATAGCTGTTTCCCTTCCAGGCTCCCTAGAGAAGTTCTGCTTTGAAGGGGTGACAGTGGCAGTCAGGAGGTATGTCATAGGAACAAGGGTCAGGAAAGAATAAAGTCCAATTGCTTGTCACAGGCATTGTTCATTCAACCTACATTTCTTGAGTGCCGACTACATGCCAACACTACTAGATGCTGGGGTGTAAAGATGAATGCAACATAGTGCCTGCCCTGGAGCAGGTTAGCTGCTGACCCATCTTGGCGGTGCGCTGAGGCCCAGATGGCTGTCGATGGAAAGTTCTCTCCAGTTACCGCAACTGGCCGCTGTCACCGATACATACAGGGTTTTCTCTGTGCAGCTTTGGCACCTGTCCTGGAACTCACTCTGTAGACCAGGCATGCACTACCACTGCCTAGCAAGGCCACACCTCTTACTCCTTCCCAAACAGTTCCACCAGCTAGAAACAAAGCCTTCAGATATGTGAGCCTAAGGAGGGGGGTCGTTCTCATTGAAACCCCCACACAGAATTTTAGCAGTGCACTTTTAGTTCTGCTATGATTATTGTAGGTATGTGTTACTCCTGCAGGGACCAGCAGTGTATATTGGGTGTCTGATTTCTCTTAGATATTGTTAGAATCTCTTTTTTTTTTTTTGGTTGGGGGGTTCGAGACAGGGTTTCTCTGTATTGTTTTGGAGCCTGTCTTGGAACTTGCTCTGTAGAGGCTGGTTTCTAACTCACAGAGATCTGCCTGCCTCTGCCTCCCAAGCTGGGATTAAAGGCGTGTGCCACCAATGCCCGAGAGCTACATCAGTGTCTTCTACACAGTAAGAAAAACAAGCAAACAATTAAACAAAAAACAAAACAAAACAGAAATCCAAAAACAAAACAAAAAACCCACAATCATATGAGTGGCCACTCCAGCGGGACATTGACTTCATACTTTTGATTTATCTATGCATGAAATGTCAAAAGAGATTGTATTTTTCCATGAAATTCACAATGTTCGACCATGTGCTTTTTATTTTATTTCCATATGCAAATGATTTTCATTCAGACAGCTGTGCTCATGGCTCAGCAATGAACTCATGGCTTAGAGAGATGATGGCAGGCCCTTTATGGAAGAGTACACAAGTATCTCTGTGATAAGAAAGAAAGTGATTGCACAAAATTTTTGGAGAAAAAAGACCTCTAAAGAAAGATGTCATTTTAGAAATAAAAAGCATAAACTTAGTTTATTCTCAGGTATAAATGGAAAATACATATAGCAAAACAACTAAAATTGGTATTAATCTTTAGCAGCTATAGAGATAGTCAGCTAAAACTATTTAAGAGATAAAATTTTTATTTTATATGATACGAATAAGACAAAGAAAATAGTAGTAATATTCATCTGACCTCAGAAGCAGAGTAGGGTCAGGCCTGGTTGTTACTTTTATTGAGGACATCATCATCATCATCATCATAACACTAATAATAATAATAATAATAGTTAAAGAGATAGAGTGCCAGAGGAGAATAGTCCCTTAGGTGGTCAGTGTAGAATGGGAAGAGAAGCCTGTTGCTGGAATTTAAGCTCAAGTGAAGCATAAATAAAGCCAAATGAGGCATTATATGAAGAATGTGTTTGCCACTGGGTTGCATGTATCCATGTGTACATTTGACTAACCATCATGTGTATTGCAAAAGACCTTGTTTCATATTTCATAATTCATATTTAAAATTCAGAATTGCTTTACTTTTGCCATAACTCTTAATGTTTTCATTGTAAAGTCAACATCCATTCCTTGCATAAGGAACTATTCTGCCATTATTTCCACTTAATTGACAAGTATTTATTGAGTGTCTACTATTCTTGGTTCTGGAGACTTAACAAGCAAATGCAACAAGGCAAAAAAAAAAAAAAAAGAAAGAAAAAAGAAAAACCAAACAAACCAAAAACCAAAACAAAACCCAAAACAACAACAGCAAACTCCATGATCTTTATATTACATTCTAAAGGCTGATAATAATAATAAAAAAACCAAGTTTAACTAAAATATACAGACTAAATGGCAATCAGCTAAAACAAGCATGCCACTAAAACCAGGTAGGGAGGGTTGCCAGTTTAAGTGGAATGGCTGGGAAGGGCTCAAGAAGCGGTGTGGGTGACGTCAGTGTAAAACCCCAAAAGACACAGGAGAGGGGGATGTGAGGCTGAACATTGATCATCAACTTGACAGGGAGACTCAGTGAAGAGACAAGCCTCTGGACATGCCTGTGAGGGACTATGCAGATTAGACTAATTGAGGCATAAATACTCTCCCTAAATATTGGAAGTACCATTCGGTGGGCAGGGCCTGAACTGAGTGAAAAGGAGAAAGTGGGCTGAGAACATCTCAAGAATTCATTTCTCTCTGCTACCCGACTGCAGATGCAATGTGATCAGGCACGCCAATATTCTCCTGCCATGCCTTCTATTCCAACATGGCCAGTATTGCCTGTACCCTTAAAAACTATGAACAACAACGAACTCTTCCTTTCTTAGATTCGTTTTGTCAGCTATTTCATCATGGCACTGGTAAAGGTGACTAATACAGTGCCTTATAGCCATCAAGGCGGGGTGGGGGCATTTCCCAGGTGGAAGACCCAGCAGACACAAGCCCCTGGGGAGGCAGGTACAGCTACCAGTGTCTGGAGACCAGAGAAAGTCAGGGTGGCTGGAGAGGCTAGAGAAGAGGAGAAAGGCTTCAAGATGCTGCCACCTTTTACTTTCAGTCAGGTGGCAATCCAGGGAAAGCATTGAGTGGGAGCGCCTCATGGACTCCATGCAGGTGGATAAATAACAGTGTCGGGTAGGGGTGGATGGTGGGTGAACAGAGGCAAGAGAAAGACATGGTTCTTATGATCAGGTCATAGCTTAAGCTGAGGCATTCTCAGTGGGCACAGCCAGTGGCTGGACAAGGGATCAAATTCTGGATATTTTCTGAAAGCAGAGCCGACAGAATTTGCTGATGGATTGGATCTGGGCTTTGTGAGAGGGAGGGTGGGAGAAATCAAGAAAGAACAATCCAAGGTTTTTGACCTGAGCAACTGGAAGGATAACAGTGTCATGAACTGAGATGGGGAAGACTGTGGGAAGAAATGGGCTTGGGAGAAAACAAGGATGAAATGGGGCAAGTTGATTTGGAAGCATATTATATTTCCAATTGGAAACATTAGATATGTACTTGGGTATAGGCAGCTTGCCTTCTGAAAACTGCAGGCTGTAAACAAAGATTTGGCGACTGTCAGAATGGAAGATGTATTAAAAACAAGGAGTACCCTTGAGGTCAGTCATATGGTAAGCAGAGATGGAAGGAAGAGAATTTAGCAACGTGGATTAGGAGGCAGTGTCCAGTGAAGGAGGACAATGAAGAGAAATCACTGCCTGGAATCCATGGGAAGAAACTTTTTCAAGTAGAAAAGAGTGATCAATAATGACACATGTTTTCCCCATAGTTTCAACATGAGGACTGTCTATGGGGTTTACCATTGGGCAGGTCATTGGTGACCTCAAATATGAACAATTCTAATCATAGGATTAGATTTTACTAGGCTTGGATTCATATAGTCTGTTTGAAAATGTTTGGGATAGACCCTACACACATTCCCTAAGCAAAAGACATAAAAAAAACCACTTAGGCTATTGAGACAGAACAGCATTGCTCATGCTGATATTTATTCAGCCCCTACTTGTACCAGGCAAGTGCTAAAGCACTTTACATGTATGATTTTGTTTGACTCTTCACATCACGAACGTGAATGATTACAACGTGATCTCAGTTTTATAAGGGAGAAAATGCAAGTGTACAGATTTTATGATCTTTAAGAAAATGACCCTGTGGATAAAGTGATAGAACTGAGGACTTGAGGAGCATTTCCTAAACTTTTAATCAGACTAGCCATTTTGTTTCCAAGCTATATTAGTTGCTTTTTGGAAATACTCTGATTCATTGGAAATTAAAAGTGTAATTTTCTAGAATGATGTTTTTGTTTTGGTATCTATGCCTGTTCATGTGTTTATGCCTGCATGTGCAGATGCGTTGCGTATGGAGGCCAGAGGTCAACCTTGGCCACTGTTGGCTCTTTGTTTTTTGAGATAGGATCTCCCTATTGCCTGGGGTTAGACCAGGAGGCCAGCAGGCCCAGGGATTAGGCTGTGTCCACCACTCTAGTACAAGAATAGCAAGCACTCACTACAATGTCCCAAAGCTCAGGTTCTTATGTTCCAACAGCACGTACTCTGCCTATTGAGACACCTCCTCAGCCTCTGTTTGTGGTTGCAATTGAAGTTTATTTGCAGAAACTCACGTACATTCTTTTGAAGTCTGTTCTTAAAAATAACAACACTGAAAAGCTAGTGGCCTTAACATATTCATGTTCACGACATCCCTGTAAAGATGCTACTTTTATTCAAATTTTACATATGGATGCTAGAGTTGGGCTTAGAGAGGTTGAGTAAACTGCTTGAAGTTACAGGGGTTCTAAGAATTGACCCCATGTCCTCTGAAATTACATTCCATGCTTTTTCCACTACAACACGCATGTAAATTTAGTTAATTCCCAGGCTCAGCTTGAAATATTATAGCTTTACTCATCTGTGTAAAATTGATTACTCTCATTTGATGCACCGTTATAACTCTGACAGCTGGAGCCACGGGGGCCACGATTTTAGGAAGCACGTATGCATGTTTTAATTAGACTTGTTTTCTCTGGAAAAGCCACATTAGTGACTTTCTTTTCTTTATTAAGATTTTATGTAACACAGCAGAAGAAAAGGCAGAATTGCTGTGTGGTTGGTTATGCTTTTCATTGTTCCAACTCTTCTGGGGACACAGCTAGGATCATGCTGTTGGTGGAGAACTGGAGTGAACACAGATCGGGATGGAAATTTTTGGAGTTTGCTGAGAGTTGGGCTCGGGAATTATCATTGTTTTTCAAGAATGACTTTTAAGCTTTCTATTGGATCTTGATGTCAGATTTGGTCCACAACACATTTCTTGATTTCTTTACACCAGTATGTGCTTGCCATTTTTACTTTTGGACAAGCTCTATGGCTAGGGGCTGAGAGACAGCTAAATCTGTAAAGTGCTTGCCTTGAAAGCAGAGCACATGTGTTTGACCCTCAGAAAAGAAGC